TCTACCACTGAAAACTTCTCATTGAGAACTAATCTACCACTGAATACTTCTCATTGAGAACTAATCTACCACTGAATACTTCTCATTGAGAACTAATCTACCACTGAAAACTTCTCATTGAGAACTAATCTACCACTGAAAACTTCTCATTGAGAACTAATCTACCACTGAATACTTCTCATTGAGAACTAATCTACCACTGAATACTTCTCACTGAGAACTAATCTACCACTGAATACTTCTCATTGAGAACTAATCTACCACTGAATACTTCTCACTGAGAACTAATCTACCACTGAATACTTCTCATTGAGAACTAATCTACCACTGAATACTTCTCACTGAGAACTAATCTACCACTGAATACTTCTCACTGAGAACTACTCTACCACTGAATACTTCTCACTGAGAACTAATCTACCACTGAATACATCTCACTGAGAACTAATCTACCACTGAATACTTCTCACTGAGAACTAATCTACCACTGAATACTTCTCACTGAGAACTACTCTACCACTGAATACTTCTCACTGAGAACTAATCTACCACTGAATACATCTCACTGAGAACTACTCTACCACTGAATACTTCTCACTGAGAACTAATCTACCACTGAATACATCTCACTGAGAACTAATCTACCACTGAAAACTTCTCATTGAGAACTAATCTACCACTGAATACTTCTCACTGAGAACTACTCTACCACTGAATACTTCTCACTGAGAAACTAATCTACCACTGAATACTTCTCACTGAGAACTACTCTACCACTGAATACTTCTCACTGAGAACTAATCTACCACTGAATACATCTCACTGAGAACTAATCTACCACTGAAAACTTCTCATTGAGAACTAATCTACCACTGAATACTTCTCACTGAGAACTAATCTACCACTGAATACTTCTCATTGAGAACTAATCTACCACTGAATACTTCTCACTGAGAACTAATCTACCACTGAATACTTCTCACTGAGAACTTATCTACCACTGAACACTACTCACTGAGAACTAATCTACCACTGAATACTTCTCACCGAGAACTAATCTACCACTGAATACTTCTTACCGAGAACTACTCTACCATTGAACACTTCTCACCGATAAATACTCTACCAGTGTTATTTTATAAAGACACATCAGTAATTTGACTTAGTTGTCAGTTGACATGTTCTCATAACCTTTCAAAGTTGTCACATTTAAGCTATTTAAGCTATCTGAATATTGAATAATGCAAGGGGCAAGACGTGAAGTAGTTGCATATTTGGTTCAAATTTGACAAAATGGTTACGGAGTCATGTATTTTCTTCAGATAAATTTGTTTATATGCTATTTTGAAAATTTATAATATGTTCTTATATGACAAAGTTATTGGAGATATAAACTGGACATGTTTTGAGAATCCGGGGCGGTTTTTACAGTCATTTATTCTGATTTGTAAGTTTTTAAGATCATAAAACAAGACAAAATATGTTTCTGTTCATAATGTGTAAATGTTTTAATTTGCCATGTCCAAATAAAGGTGAAATACACAAATATATCTTATTCAAAGGCATTTTATTTGCAAACTGGTCATTCAAGCGTTTCTTGTAGCAAATTTATTATCATTTGAGTCAAATATAAAACTGCAAAAGGATTCAACGAAGATCATAATTATAAGTATTAAATATTTCCTTGACTTAAAAATGCTTTTTATCACACACCCGTGCCGATTTTGCGACTCCGTAAATATGGTATTGCACGGCCGTGCATATATTTTGACGTGACGTCATTAGCGTTATTCAAACATAGTGTAAAGACGCGCTAAATGTTAGCGTTATACTATAGGCGCGTCAATGAAAAATGACTCTTATTTCACTTTAAACGGTCTTTATTTTGGGTATGTGATAAATAGAATATTAAATTCGTGTAACTTCATTACTGAATTTATAGCACTCGTTGAATAAAATAATATTATGCTCGCCAGAGGCTGGCATAATATAATTTTATTCAACTCGTGCAATAAATTCAGTATTGAACTTACACTCATTCAATATCCTCTATTTATCACACACCCGTGCCGATTTTGCGACTCCGTAAATATGGTATGGCACGGCCGTGCATATATTTTGACGTGACGTCATTAGCGTTATGCAAACATAGTGTAAAGACGCGCTAAATGTTAGCGTTATACTATAGGCGCGTCAATGAAAAATGACTCTTATTTCACTTTAAACGTTCTTTATTTTGGGTATGTGATAAATAGAATATTAAATTCGTGTAAGTTCATTAATGAATTTATTGCACTCGTTGAATAAAATAATATTATGCTCTGTAGGAGCACATTTGTCTCGGAGCACATTTGTCTTACGTAAGACCGATGCGGTCGCATTTGTCCCACATGAGACAAATGGGACCTCAAATGTCTACCCGAAAAAGCTCATTTGTGTGACAAATGTGCTCCGTTCAAGTTTTTTAAGGGCCAAGAAAGCACATTTGTCTCATGTGTTTTTAAGGGTCAAGAAAGCATATTTGTCTCATGTCATTTTTATGAATTACTTTTCACACATTTCCCCACGTCAGAAATTCTTTTTTAGAATCGAGTGTCAAGTGTAATCATCAATAGGTTTGCTTATGTTTTCCTTATGAAAAAACCTAAAGTGAACTATTAATTATAATATCTCTTATTCAAGAAAATGATTGGCTTAACCTGAAGGCGTAGACTGAAACATACTAAATCCCGTTCACGATGGCACAATGGTGACAGCGCGATGGCACGATGGTACGTTGATGAAAACGCGATGATGCGATGGTGAAAACACAATGGTACGAACGTGAAACAACGATTGTTCGATGGTGAAACAACGACGGCTCGATGATGAAAACGTGATGGTACTTTGGCGAAAGACGATGTTACGATGGAACGATATAGTGAGACTGCGATGGCATGATGATGAAAACGCGATATTATTTTCTCTACCGTGTCATCGCATTATCGTGATTTCACCATCGTGCCATCGTGTTTTAATCATCGAACCATCTCATTTTCACCTTTGTACCATTGTGCACAGCTGTTCAGGGAGACAAAATGTTACTTATGTCCAAACGGAACACCGTAATCGGTTGATACTGAATGATACAATATCGTGACTCGTTTCGCATCTCGCCGAATTCTCGCGTCTCGCTTCGCATCTCGTTCGTCGGCGCGAGACAAGAAATTGGTTCCAGGTCATATACCACTATGTAGTATTCCCTTGGCTTATTATGACCGAAAAATGCTTTTATTTGTATTTCTCAAAATTAAAGCATTTTTTTTATTTTTGGTATACTTTTATAGCTCTAAAGAGATACTCATTGGCTAATTACCTGAAGCATTTTTTCATCTGCTGCTTTTTGCAGTTTGTACAGTTGAAGTGATTTAGAATTTTGTGTTGAAGTCAAAATACTACTTTGCTTACAGTTTGCTACTTTTATGACGCATTATTTCACATTTATCGCGAATTCCTTTGGTTTACAAGCATCTAACTTCCTCAGAAATCATTATTTGAATATTAATAAATTCATACTTGCCATGTAAAAATTTATTTATTTCTGAAATCTCGTGGTACGGGATACTTCGACATTGCGAGATCTCGTGTTACAATATCGTGCCTCGCTTCATGTCTCATCGGAATGTGTCGTCTCGCCCAATTCTGAGTGGCCCGATATTCCATAATTATGGCATTACCCTGATTATTTTAAGAACTCATGCATGTTGTAAGTGCTTTTTCAATGGCGGATCTGAAAGCCGCAATTCTTGGAAAATGACGATTTTTTATACATATATTTCTGATGAAAACAAAACGTGTGTATTGGTCTTCTTATTTTCTTCCATAGATCATTTAAGGGCCTCCGTGGCCGAGTGATTTCAAAAAACCACTTGCCTCTAACCGCTGTAGGTTCGACACATACACGGGGCGTCGAACTATACATGCGAGGATCCCGGACAGGGTCCAAATGCGGAATACATATCCGCGTGCGCACGTAATGCCACCTTTATGCCACCGTAGATACTACCTTGCTTTTGCTAAGAATATTCCTAGTGCCATAAATCATCTATTAAACTTTAAGCATTGAAAATTAACGTATCACAATTAATAACGATAAGAATAGACTTGCTGCATAAGTGTTTAGGTTCTGGATGCTGCACTTGTAGAAATTTTCATTGTGACATGCAGAGCAAGGATATTCTTTAATTTAATATATGACTCCTATGAATAGGCAGGAAGTTTTTGACTGACCGGAAGTGACCGAAAAACGGTATTATAAATACAGAAAACACAGACCAATAGCTGGTAGCCGGTATACAGATGGGCATAATAATTACCTTTTAAGAATTTTATGGAAAAATGTGAGACAAATGTGCTTCGAGTGTCCTTTCTATTGTGTGTCGAACACATCTGTCTCATTTCCAATTTGTCGCAAATATGAATGTTTACGAACACATCGGTCACACTTCGTGAGACAAATGTGCTCCGAGACAAATGTGCTCCTACAATGCTCGCCAGAGGCTGGCATAATATAATTTTATTCAACTCGTGCAATAAATTCAGTATTGAACTTACACTCATTCAATATCCTCTGTATATGACTTTGACATTTTTGGGGGTTTCTTTATTCAGTTGTCGGTTGTAATAATTTATTGGTACGACCACGCTAATGTCCTGGCTTGTGTGCCCTCTAATGCATTTTGTTAGGTGCATACTCAGTGCCTTTGCGGTAGTCTAGTGTGGTGACGGGATTTTGCATTCTCTTAATGTCGCCTTCAAACGAATTGTATTGTTTTAAGCAAATATTTAGATCAATTCTTTCACAATAGAAGCTGCTAAATCTATGATTTAGTACGCAGTGTCACAGGAAATTACTAAAAGCTTTCCGTTTATTCCCGGATTTACATCTGCATTTCCTTTCATCAATTAGTATGCCATTCATTTTTATGTATTTTGGACATATATATAAGTAGCATGTCTGCATTAAATGAACTCTCTAGTTTTATAGACAGTTTCTTCATGAATAAATTATGTAAAAGTGTCAAAAATTAAATTAAAAAGAGTTGAAACACTTTGGAAAACAATTTTGGAATTAGTGTGCTGCTTGAGCTTTTAATAAAATTCACGGTACAATCGTTTTTGAAAATAAAAATACATTTAGTTTCTTTTTATTATTAAAAGTTTATCGAGTAAAATGAATATTTTCAGGGCAGTATTTGTTCTATTTCAACTATACATACACGACATTGACGGACTTGTATTTGCAGGATACAGTGTTGTTACCCGACAAGAGGGTATAAGTTCGCTAGACAGGTATCGATGTGCTGAAACTTACGTCGGGTTCGAGTATATTGGGCACGTATTAACGCCGGACGGCGTGTGTACGCCAGTCCAGTATGGACGGTCAGACGTAATGTCACCGGGCTCGGAATATTTAAAGAAAACATGGAATTGCAATGTCTTTGACACTCCGGTATGATATACACAATTATATGCATAATGTACTCTATTCGAGCTCATCTTCATCAGGAATGAACAATTCATATCTGTAATATTTCTTTATGGCGAAAAGGTCGTCGTTTTCTGTAGCATATGCCCAAAATCAACATTTTCAATTAAAGTTCAAAAATGTCACAATTTTGTGCATGTTTTGTAACGCTTTTCGTGAACTTTAACGGAGTCAATCAGACTCTGCAACGACCAAGTAAGCAGGGATGAGATCATTACTTCAACTCTAATCATAATAGCCCAACATTTTCATTATTAAAATAATAACACGTAAGAAAAATGACCTTGCTGATGTCAACAGATAGAATATCCTAAAAGAACATGTTTACATATTTTCAGACTGCAATGTTGTAAAAACCATGTTAACATGCTCTTAGATTACAATGTATTACAAAAGATTGGATGTCTTAAAATATCATTGGAGAGGTCATCAGACCTCTCCACAGTGTTCAGACTGATTGCTGGCGGCAATCGGCATTCATTTTTGCGTATTTGATTGTAGTGAATAAATCTCAATTAAAGCTTAAAATCATTAGAAGCAGTCTACAAAAATGGTTTTGCGCATGCTCCGTTTCAAAATAAGGAAGTGAGCAAATCGGTATATAGAAAAATCGGAAAATATCATGAACGTTACTTAGCGCTACGTGGATGTTTCATTCCGTTTTAATGTTTTAAACTGTAAAAATCGATTACCGTACTGTGTTCTGAATAGCGTTTTAATATAAAATAGTAACAGTGAACATTATAGCTACAATATCACCATGTACTATTACATGAGTACCGAAAGTTTGCAGCTCTTTTAACTTTTGACCGGTATGACTAAATAACGCAACGCAGATTTTTTGGCGCAAATGGCACAAATTTTACTAAAGTTTGATTTTCGTCAAATATTGTGGTTGCAGGCATGCAGCTTTATATACTGTTTATTCTAACCAAATGGTTTAAACATATTTTTATGTAAATCCTGGTCGAAATTTTGTTTGATTAACATACTTTATGCCCATTTTGGAAAATGTAGAGGAAATGTTTCCATAAACTTACCAGAACATTAACCGAAAATTTGCTTATTGATATATATTTGCTTATATATATATCATTTATTTTAAATTTAGTTCTCTTTGTAGAAAAACTTTCTCTTATGCGCCAAGAGAAGAGTACATTTCTCCGGCAAATAATCTTTCAAAACATTTAAGAAATGAAGCGTAAAACAAACTTTCATTATGATACTATATTCAATATATATGATAATTTCCATTTTGTAAAATAATGATAATTTGTAACTACTCATTGTGTCTTTTCTGCAAGAAAATCCCCAAATATTTTCGAATTAAACAAATCTTCCACAGCAGCAAAAAGACCTCTCGCATGCTTCTTTTTAAAGAAGTAAACTTGTGTTTACATTTATCAGATTGCAATATACATTTGTATTAGCAAAATCCTTACAGTGATTTGATTAGCTTTGCTTCACAAACAGCATGTTACCATAGGAAACGGCTTGTGACTTCAAAAAAGGAGCCTTCTGAAACGAGGCACAAAGATTGTTTCAGTCGGAAATGTTCTTTTTTTGCGACAAAACAAACATTATTACGGCTTAAATGGGCAGATTGAAACTTATTTTATTGACAGAATAAAATTTCGGCCACAATTTTGAACAGTTTAAACGTCTTACTTTCATTTTACTAAGAGTTACAACCTAAAATAAACATTACCAAAGGTATCCGCATAATAATAATAATAATATATATATATATATATATTCAATGTAAGTGCTGTGGTTAGCATTCAATTACATTTACAAAAAAGGATATCATAAAAAAATTACTGTTCTAAATTTTATTAAAATTTTGATGTCATTGGTCTGTGAAGCAAAGCAGTGGAACCACGGAATCATGGGATAGCAGTTTGATGTTTTAAAAAATATTTGATGACGTAAAAGACAATGGTCACCTTTTTTGTATTATAATTCAGACTGAATATTGTTAAACGCAGCGTAACATGGTTACAGATTGCTATGTACTAAAGAACATGTTAACATGCTTTTAGATTACAATGTTTTACAAGTATAAGCGTTTCCAAAAATGCTAAGAATCGCCGTCGAAAATAAAAAACGTGTAATGTACTCTTTCCTGAACAATAGAGCTAATGATTCATATGTTTACACCACAAGAGCCTAGACACTGTTTTTTATTGCTTCGTATATGGAGATAGTATTTTAATTCTATATATAGGTAACCCGACAAAAACATGGCGGATGGCGTGCTTCGTAGGCAGGTATTTTGTCGTCCATTTTCTTATCATGATACTGAATTCTCCGTTTTTGATTGGCTTAGAGCAGGTGGTGTACGAGTAAAAATGATCAAATCTTGTTAATTGTATATAACGGCGGCAATAATACTGTTTGTCTATGATAATATGAGAGTGACGTTTCACCACCAACTAAAAATGCAGAACGGATCTAAAAATCGAATATAACAGTAAATTTGAAACGGAATGGTAAATATCACGATTGTAATATTCAATAATAGATTTGAATGCCGTAAACACCATGTTAACATGCTCTACATTGCAATGTATTGTAACAGAATGAATGTCGTAAAAGACCATGTTTACAGAATGTATTGTTTATAAATAGAATGAATGTCGTATCTTGATATGTTTCCAGATTGCATTGTTCAAAGTAAATGATAACAATTATATAAGGTACGACGCACCAATACCTGGTGAACTGGTAACCGGAAGTAGCATTGAGGTTGTATTTATACCCCAGGAGCCGTGGAATCAGTAAGCAATATTTACTTTAAAACTAAACAAACAAAGTTAATGTCAAACACCAGAAATGGTTACTTTAAATATCCAATACAAGGCAGATTAAAGAAAAATATTTATCTATCTGCCTGTCTGTCTGTCCATCTACCTACACAGTTGTGATGCTAATAAGATATATTGCATTTCAGGCCTTTGCTTTCGTTAGTTTTACCCATGCCTGAAATTTCATCTGGCATGGGGGTAGGGGTTCCAGATGAGTCACGTGCTATACAATGGCATGATTTGACCGTTATGAATGAAGTTGTAATTCATACGCTGTTGTAAGAAAATAGTTACGGGTTTAATGACATAAATTTTAATAGAAATTTGTTTTTAAGGTAAAACGAATTTAAAATATGATGGAATATGGTAGAATGGGGCGTCCGTGGCCGAGTGGCTAAGGTCGTTGACCTCAAACAACTTGCCCCTCACCGCTGTGGGTTCGAATCCCGACAGGGACTTTTGATTCTTTCATGTTAGGAAGCTATCCAGCTAGCTTACGGAACGTCGGTGGTTCTACTTATGTGCCCGTTCTTGCCTGAAATAATGCACGGAAGGGCACCTGAGGTATTGCTCCACCAGTAAAACTGGAACGTCCAAAATATGCAAGAAAAAAATATCTGCCATATATCAGCGGTTCGGATCGGAATATCCGTCCCCCGGGAACTTGCCAATCGCCTTTACTTGGCAAGCCTCGTTACCGCCCAATGGGCGGGTCCCTTCGGAACGGATATTCCGATCTGAAACGCAACATATGACAGATATCATTCATCCTGAGCTTGTTCTTTCGCCCAGACTTTATCAAATTTCTTTTTTAGGATTGTTTTAAGCCTTTTTGACGACAGCGAATCAAATAATGTCCTTCATACATCTTTCCGGAGTGACTTACACTTGATCCACTTCAATTCTATAGTATCTGGACAATGGGCGGACATGAAACATGCTAATGGCGTCGAAATTAAGTCAGGCAGTGCTGCAACGTTAACGGTGGAAATTCTTACGGATACATTAAAGGTGCGTTTTGCTCTTCTTCTATGCACGTGCTCTGATCTGTTTAATGATTGTGCGCATGCGCATGACAACTCGCATTTTTTGGTTGAATTGCACTGAACATTATGTATTTCTTAAAGTGAAAGGTTGTGTTCTATATTTCTATATGGAAAGAATATCTCAAAACTGGTATCATTTTATCATAATATTGGCTGCCCATACTTTTTGTAATACAATTATAAATCTTTTACAAAATTCTAACAAAAGCTTCCTACACTATGGTTGTATGTATGTTGTATAAAAAATATCAAACAAGAAAAGGGTACGCAGAAACTGCCGCTTGACCACAATACATTATCCGTTCTGTGTATTCTTACTATTGTGTTCGAGGGTCTTACCCGAAATTTGAAGGAAAGGTCCGAAAAGTTGCGATAGATTTTATGTTACAAAATCGTTACCAGTTTTCGGTTTAAGCAGACGAT